ATATATATATATATATATATATATATATATATAATATAAAATCAACATGCTAATATTTCATATATTAGATAAAACTGATTGAACTTAAATTAAAAACATAAATTATATGTACTATTAGATTATTTTAATTAAATCAAAATATTAAGTGTATGTTTAGGTTAAAAAACATATAGTATAGATTATATTAATCTTTTAAGAAAAAATAAGAAAAAAGAAAAGAAAAAGAAAAGAAAAGGAAAAAAAACTAATAAAATCATGCACGTCCTTGACCTCCGCATCTTCACTAACACCCATATGCATAATTTTAATATTTATAGAATAAAATTAAATTTCAACAAATTATACCTAAGATGTAAAATCAAGATTTTAAATTGATTTTGTTTACATCTACTCAAATTTAAAACTATTATTACTTATGTTTTAATGTTATATAAAAATAATAATTCAAACAAAAAAAAATGTTGCACGCATTCTTTTTCTAAGATCCTATTTTTTAATACGTATTTCACAAAATATGCCTAAGATATAAAATTAAGGTTTTAAATATATTTTGTTTACATCTACTTAAATATGTTTTATTGTTATATAAAAAAATAATTCAAACCAAATTGTTTCTGTTTATTTATTTTCTTAAATTTTTTGAATTCAAAATATTGATTTTTTTTACTAATACATAGTTTCGAGTGTAGTTTAAAGCTTTAGTATTTATTCAAATCAATATCTTAATCAATTAGCTTCTTATTAATTTGTAATAAGTGACTACTGTTGCAATGGATTCCTAAGTATAGGTAACTGATTAAGATAACTTTTCTTCCTTTTATGAACTCCATAATTAAAATTATTGTAATTCCAATTATTGTAACTAAATAAATTAAAATTTAACAAAAATAAATTAAAATTGCAAACTCACAAATAATTTTAAAGCTAATTAAAATATAATTTTCTAAGCTAACTATAATTTTCAAATTAATTTTATACTAATTTCATAAAGATTTCTAAAAACAAGAATTATTATCCTATTTTCTTTAATTTTTGCTTTATATAATATAGAAGGAAATTAAAAAAAAAAGTTTAAACGGAAAGAAAAAACCGAAAAGGAATCCCCCACATTTGCATTTTTTTAAATTAAAACAACATAATCTGCATATAAATTAATATGCAAAATTTATGAATTAAATTAATTTAACATTTGAAAATTAAAATAAAAAGGGTACACGCTAAAAAAAAAAAGGATACAGTTTTGAAAGAACAAATAAAAATAGAAAAAATTAACTAATTCTGAGGATACCTTTTTAAAATTAAATGATAAAAACTAAATTGCCTATTTACTCAGCACATAGCCTACCCTTCAAGTTCTCTCCCTTCATGTAATCTTTACTTATAATTTAATTTATATATTTTTTTAAACCTTTATAAAGAATTAATAAAAATATTATTTCTAATATCATTCCTTTTTGGAGGTAATCTGATTTGCAACAATCCTTATTAATCTCATCAATTATTCTTATTAATCTCAATATTAAATGTTTTTAAAAAAAATAATGTATATAGATAATTAATTTGAAATTAACAAAATGTGTTTGGAAAAAAAACATTGTAAACGGCATTTTTCTAAGGGCAACTTTCACATATATCAAACAAAAAATTCATATTTGTATGTTATAGCAAAGTTTGCATAATTGCACTTCATAGCAAACACATGGTTAATAGTATATATCCCAACAATCTCCACTTAGACTTTTAACCATCACAATTGTTATAATGTACTATATCCAAATGCATGGTTAATAGTATATACCCTAACAATCTCCCACTTAGATATTTAATCTTGAATATTGTTAGAATACTATGTCAAAACACACTGATTAATAGTATATACCCTAACAATCATACGACCAGTTAAGAAACTTCAATTATTCAAATAAGGTGTAACCGACTTCAACCGAACTTTCAATGTCTCTTTTCTTATTTTTAAATGAATAATATCAATATCCAATCCATAAGAAATCATTGTTACTAAAGATTATGTTGTAATTAGACTAATAAATTTCATTTTTAGTGATTCAATTACCATGAATTTTTCTTTTAATAACGATGAACGTGAAGAGAATTTTCTTGTTAAAATTTAGGTACGTAGAATTAACTTTTAGGTAACTAGCAAATAGTTAAAGTAGTAACTTCACATTAGTTAATTGTTTGAATAATTATTTTTTCAATACAATTTTTCAAGTAACTATTTAATGAAAATTATATTTGATTTCTATGTATGATTGCAATTGATATATCAAAAATTATAGCTGAATGTATTTTGTATATAAATATACCAATACAAACTTGTTTCTATCTATAAAATTATGTAATCTTAAAAACTTCCTTCTTGTCGATTTTTGAAATTTTGTCTAAATTAAGATTATTTTTTAATGTTTATAATTGATAAATAATGAATTTCCTCTCTATTAACATGTTTTAATGCATCTTATTTTATATAATACGTAGTCTACTTACGCATAAACTAAATATTTTAAATATGAAAAATTTTAAATCGATAAAACCTTGCTTTTAACCTATCAACTATAAAATGTAACAATATTTTTGAATTAAACTATTGAAGAAAGATTTATTGAATTATGTATACTAAATTTAAGAGTATTTAAATCACTTTTTGAAAAATAAAAGGGACGAATTAAATAGCCAAAGGAAAAGATTTTAATTTTTCTTTACGTGAGAGAGTGACACATGATCCCCGTTATAAAAGTAGAAAAAGATAATTAGACACATAGTTTCACAATAGTAGAAAGATACAAATGTATATTTACCAGGCCGTTGGTTTTAAAAGTTGTTTTCCAAAACAACTCACAAATTCCTTGAAAATCATCTATATAAATCACTCCCCCTTCTCCTTCTCTATTCACACAACCAAAGAAAAAACCTTGAGAAGTGTCTATAATCACTTTTGTTTTTTCTTATTTACTCACCCATTCTTCTATTCACATACAAAAATAAAATAAATTCTTGAGAGACATCTATACAAATCTTTCTCCTTCTCCATTCTTTCTTCACTCAGTCTTCTCTTAAGGAAAAAAAAAAAGTTCTTGAGAGACCTTCTTTTCACAAAAATGATTCTTTTATTTAAGTCACTCTTTTTTATTTTTTAAGATGGCACAAAATAACAATATCAACATAACAGTTCACACAGGTGAAATGCGTCCCACAGGGCATTCTATTTTTTTTGGAGTAGAAATATGGTATGTTGTAATCATTTTTTGTGCATGATCTCATGTAATATGAATTTTAAAAATTTCTTGTATTATTTTTCTGTTTTTATTCCTTCAGATTTTCACTTTCTATTGGATGAATTTTTGTTTGGTTGTTGGATTGGAAGCGGAAAAGGCAAGAGGAAGTAACACGTAGAGTAAAAGGGCTTAATTTTGTTTTTTTGAATTCTCCTGAAAAGTGTGTTTTGTGAATGAATAATGTGATAAAATCTGAGCAGTTAATTATTTTTTTATAAATTTAAAATAAAATTTATATACCTAAAAACTATATTAAAAAAAAAGCACAAATAATCTAGTTAATTATGATACAAAATATTCTTTTAAGTGGTTGAAAATATTGTATACGAAATTACAAATGAATAATTAGTTGTGTCTAAACAATATTATTTAGCAAAAGTCACATAAAATTGTAATTAAATTACTTGATGACTCTTTTGCTAATACTATGTGTAACTGCAGGTTTTTGATGCAGCTGTTGATGAAGCATAGAAGCAAAACCAGTAGCTAAAAAGGGAGCAAATATGGAATCAATTGGTGTTTTTGTGAAAAAAAATTCCGCTATACTAGTAACTAATCGTTCTAATATTTCTATTCCTGTCTCTCTTAATCCTAACCCTACTAATAGTACGTTATGTAATAATGCATAACTATTTAGTATTTGATAAATTAATGTCTTCTGCGATATAGACTTGAGTGTATTGAAAGGGATTGCAATTTCATTCTCTATTTAATCTCAGCACTTATTAGTTTGATTATAAACATCAGTACAGTTACACTACGTACCGTTCATATTAATGGTAAGCATATGTTTATGTAAAACTAGATCAGATCGAACTTCATAATTTTGAGAAATTTAAGCGTTGATATATAGGCCGATTAATCAACTACAGATTATTATATTCACAAGAAAAAATATTGCTTAATTGCTCGATTCATACACTTTTAATAGACATTTTGTATAGATTTTGAATATATAAAATTTAATTTTTAAAATCTAATTCAAAATTTTCCGATCTTTTTGGAATATTTCATTATTTTTTGTGTAATGGTCCGAGCAAGGTCTCCAAAAATTAATAAACTTCCACCACCAATTGAACTCACTAAAATTATATTTCTCTCCATCTCAAAATATTTGTTACATTTTTTAAATTTAAACTATATAAACTTTTATTAATATTTTGAAATATATGTGAAAAATTGCTAACTTATAATATTTTTGTATGTATCTTTTGAATATATAAATTTTAGTTTTAAAATCAAATTTAATACTTTAGAATCTTTTTAAACGGAAAGAAATCCCACTATAAGGAAAGAAATAAATACAAAACTCTTAGATTAACCATATTTAAAGATTTACTTTGATAAATTAAATTTTAGCCATTAGATTTAATTTATGTCATATATCAATAATTCAAGTAAGAAATTGAAAAAATGGACAAAAGAGAACTCGAAGGTACAAGGTAATTACATATTTACACCACATGTTAACTTTTCTTATTTTCTTAAAAAGTTATTGTTTCTAAAGATAATATAAGTTGTAAATATTTTTTTTGATAAAAAAGTAACTAAACTAATAAATTTCTCTTTTAGTGATCACTTACTTTAAAATATTGTTGATTGATTATAAACTTATGATTAATGAAAATATTCTTTTTGACAAGTAAATTACTTAGTGGTCCTTAAGAGAATATTCTAGTCAAAATTCATGTAATCTTAAGAATATTGACTATATTTATTGGGAATTTATTATTAGTCAAAATTCATGTAATCTTAAGAGTATTGACAATATTTATTAGGAATTTATTATTAGTCAAAAATTTATTTCAGATTTAATTAATAATTAATTGACCAAATTAAATGTATTTTTTTAATAAAAAAGTATATAAATCACATTTCTTTTCTTTTTTTCACTTACTAAGTCTTCTCTATATACAAAAATTCTTTCAATTTATTGTTTTTAGTAGCATTCAGAACTTGAAGTCACGATCCATAAACACCATTGGTGAATCCACAGGTATAAGGATTGTCCTCACCACAATTATAGCAGTCTCTACCACCATCTCAGCCACCACCACCATGGCCACCACCGCCTCGTCCATCACTGTCGGAGTATCTACCACCTCCGCCGCCATAGCCTTCACTTTTGGTATACTCCCTAGCAACGTGACCACTATTCTAGGGAGTGTACCTAGAGTGAAGGCAATGGTGATAAATACTCTGACGGGTGATAACCTTCGTAGTTGTGATGATCGAGATGGTGGTAGCGGTTGCTATAAATGTGGTGAGGATGATCACTATGCCAGTGAATGCACCAATCGTGTCTTGACTTTTTCTTTTGGCAAGTATACATAGTGGAAGAGAATTTTCCAATTCAAAATTCACGTAATCTTTACTTTTATGTTAGAGTAATGACTTCAATAATTATTTTTTCCAGTTGAATCTTTGAATGCTATTTAAAACGACTATTTAAAGATTGTCACGCCATGCTTGCATATTTATATTTTGTTTCTTTGGCTATTGTAATTGATATGCAAAAAATGTAGTATAACCATATCAATTCAAATGTTAACTAAATTGGGCATTTTAAAGATTCTTTTGGTTGTGGGTATTAGGAATTGTGATTTAACTAACTAATTTTATTTCATCAGGTATGTAATTGACAAGTAATGTAATGAATTTCCTTTCTGTTAACAATGTCATAAGCTTATAATTTCCTTTCGATTAACAATGCCTTATTTTATTTAATTCTAGAATTTTTATTGTTAAAAGAACAATTATCTGTTGGTTTTGTTGAATTATTTCAGAATTAATTATGATTGTACCAATCTACACCTATCAAAATAAAACATAAAAATATTGATTTACTAAGAGTAAGTTTTTGTTCAACGAAGGAATATTTTTTTATTTTGAAAAATAACTTAATTTATTATAAATTATTTTTTAAATTACGTTAATCCATATTAAGTGAATTGGTGGAGTTTGACATATTTCTATAAAAAATATATTTAAGGACATAAATTAGTAAAAAGCTACTTGTTATGTTCAAAAGCACACACAAGTGCACGTGGTCACTCAAGTAGTACAACGACTCTTTTGAGCCGGATGTTCGTACCCAAAGGACTTCAAATCAACAAATAACAATTCTCTTGTGTCTAATTTAAATTTACTCAATCAACAATTACTTTTAGAAATTGTTTATACTACCACTTAGACATTAACACAAATTAATTACTTTAATCAAACGATTTCAAACAAGGAAATCTTACAATTAGAAAAGGTATCCAAAGATTGTAGCATAGATCGATTTCCGGCATAACATTGCTTTAATCTAGTATTTAGAGGGTTAACCTAACTGTGGGTTAGCAAGGTTCATTTTACGATCACGATCTTCTAACCTCTAATCACTTATCATCATTGACAACCTAACTATATCGTTGAGCGGAGTTAGGTATGAACCAACGATGGAGCATTAAGCATTCATTTTGTATAACAACGAAGTGAAGTATATAAGTATAAGACAATCGTTTATACAAAACAATCTAGACTTTGCCCTAGAATGAACACATTTCTCACATTCTTTGGTCTATCCCTCTATTCATTTTCCGAGTTCAAGAGTGAACAACAAGTTTATTCTAATATTGATCAAGCAATAAAAAGTAAAAAGAGAATGCAAGCACAAATCATAAGATAACTCTTCTCATACTAGAAATAAGTCATAAGATAACCCTTCTCATAATACAAACAAATTATATTAAACCATCCATCATAACCACAACCCTAAATAGGGGACTTTAGCTACTCATAATACAAAATGTCAAGAAATAATATTTGTGAATCATACAAAACTTTACCAAGATGATGAAATGGAATAAAAAACCCTAGAACAGGTTACACAATCGCCTTAATGTTGAGCTCCTGTCTTTTTGGAATGATAAAAAAATTAAACTATTTATATTCCACAATAAAAACATGTGGCCAAATTTTGGTGTCCAGGACCGCGACGCGGACCTGTTCCCTCGCCTAACTTTGCACGCAATAGAATCCTCTCCGCGACACACTCCCATCGCGGACTACTCTGTTATGAGATATTCCTTCTCTGCATGGAAGGATTAGCTCCACGACGTGAAGGTGCTCCCTCGAAGTGCATTTTCCAACTTCTTCGCTTGTTTTCTCCGCAACTTCGCCTTCCATTCTCCGACCTCTATCCAAGTGTCCTATTTTGACTCGTTTTTTGTGTTTTTCAACCTGAATTATCTAATCATATTGGTTAGAAGAAGCACCATAAAAAAAACTCTCAAAACTTAAATACGACGTCGAAAATGCTCTCAAACTCAGCTATATTGTAACGACACGCTAGGTCTTTTTGAAAACAATGATTATTTCCGTTCTTTCCGTAAAATTTATTTTGTAATTTTGAACTATTTAAATAATTGTGATTATTTAATGGACAACTAATTTAGAATGAAATATGAATTAACTATCTAATTATTATTATTATTTGGGATAATTTCAGAGACCTCTCTCTGTGGCTTATTATATTACGTCTACCTTCCTTATTTTATATTTATATAATATTTATTAATATGAAGAAATTAATATATAAAAGGGTAAAAATATAAAATCTAAATTAATTTATATTTATTTTAAATATATTTAAAGAATTGTTATATAAAAATGAAAAAAAAAAGAGGAGATAGACGTTCTTTATTGTATTATTTTTCTAATTTTTTTTTGTCAGATTTTCAATTTCTGTTGGATAAATTTTTGTTTGGTTGTTCTATTTGGAAACGGAAAAGACATGAGGAAGTAACACATAGAGTATACAGGCTTAATTTTGTCATTACTATACTAAGTACTCAAGTGTTTTTCTGAATTCTCATGAAAAGTGTGTGTGTTTTTGAATGAATAATGTGATAAAATCTTAGTAGTTAATTATTTTGTAAAAAATTAAAACAAAATTTATATACTTAAAATATATATATAAAAAAACTATCAATAATCATAGTTAATTATGTTTCAAAATTTTCTTTTAAATGTTTGAGAATATTGTTCACAGAAAAAGTAAAAAATAATTAGTCGTCCCTAAACAATAACAATTAGTTGAACTCATATAAACTTGAATAGAGAAAGTATCTTTTATGATGTGCATAGATGAGATTTAGGAGTGGTAAATGGTTGGATTAGATTGGATTTGAATGGATTAACTATAGATTGAGCAAAAACGGTTTGGATTACAATTCATTCAAATAAAATATGGACAAATATGAAATTGATAAATATGGTTTGGATAAAATGGTTTCAACCCATTTTAAAAAAAAATCTGTTTTTCACAAAAAAAAAAAATTACCCCCTCCCCTGGCACTCCCACCTCCCCAACGGGCGCTCCCCCACCTTCTACCAACCTACTCCTAAATTATTATTTTTTTAAAAGAATAAAAAAAATTGTTTTTGCATAAATAAAAATAAAAGTTTAGGTGTAAACATTGAATTAATGTCTTCTGTGATATAGACTTGCGTGAAATGGAAAGGAATTGCAATTTTCTTCTTTATTTGATCTCATGACTTATTAGCTTGATTATAAACATTAGTACAATCACACTACATATCATTGGTATTAATGGTAAGCATGTGTTTATGTAAAAATAGATCAGACCGAACTTCAATATTTTGAGAAATTTAGGTGTTGATATATAGGCCGATTAGTCAAT